TGAAACACTGTCCTCAGCCACGTGCTGCTAACGGCGCCGAAGATCCTTCAGCCCAGGCGGACCTAGTCTGATCTCTTGCATAATGCAGCCAGAGAACCGAAGGGGTAATGAAATCCAGACAGGTTGCTTTTCTGCTGGAGGCCACTGAGTGGCGTTGTATGTGTGGCTGGGGATGAGCGGGGCATTTTCTGGAGGCAGACAAAGCAAACCTAGGGCAAGTGCTTCCAACCATAAAACTTTGCTCAAGAAAGAGTTAAGGCTGGAAGTGTGGTTTAGGGGGGCCCGGCGGACTCACCAGTGCAATATTACTCTAAATTTGACACCGTTATGCTAGAAACTCTGGAAATGAACAGCCAAGCTAGTGCCTGCCCCACCCAGCCCCCTCACCATCCGATCCTGTCCCCTCATTCATCCTATCCACATGACCTTAACTCTGCCCCCTGAAATTTGCAAAGATACATGCAAAGGTAGAAATAAGCAGTGCCTGGAAGCTCATTGAGACTCATACCCTATTCAAGGGAGATGCTCCCAATAGGCTGCGGCCCACACCCTGCAAGCAATCTTCGTAAGTTCACTTACCTGGGCAAGGCCCATAACGTTCCCTGCTAGCAAGAAAGCGACATGCAAGAGTTACTCTGCAATGTAGTTAAAAAAACAGACTTGCAAGGTCAATGGGCGTGAACGTAAAACCTACATGGCCATATAATCGACGCACTTCGTAACAGCAAATAGCTCATTCACAGAAATATTCTTCTCCACCCACACAGCAGCCTGTGACATGAGAGAGAACTGTGGCCTAACAATGTGCTCCCACTATATTTCTTCTGAAATTATTATTACATGTTTAATAAGCAATATGTAACCTACTGCAGCGATAACGGAACAGAGCAAAGGAGCAGGTTTCACCTCATTGAGCCGTGTGAGTCAGGGTAGTGCGGCAAACTATTGAGCATCGTCACTCTGCCTGGATCTCTTTATTGTGCATTTCCAGGCGTTGACATCTGAGGGCTTTTTCAGGGGTAGGATCTGGGCAGAGAAAGTGTAAAGAGGTTTCAGGAGAGCATTACAGCCTCTGGCTTCTGCTCAGCCAAAGTCGCTTGGTTTGAACGGAGGGCTGGGTTGGGGAATTGCCCGTGGCTTGTCTTATTAGCGAGAACCAAAGATTAAAATCAAGTGCTCCTCCAACATTCACAGGCAGGCTCTGCACCGGTACCTCTGGGTCTGATGCCATGCAGAAGGGAGAGGCTGTTTGCTGGCCTCTTGTATGGGTTGTGCTTGGGTCCCCCTGAGGGAGCTTGGGCTATTGCTGCAGTCCCAGGGGGTGTGGACTGCTGGACAGACCATTGGGCTAGAACTCTGTAGCTGTGGGTCAACCATTGATCTGCTGAGTGACCGTGGGCAGATCACGTCCCCTCGCTGGGCCTCAGTTTCCCTGCCCGTCCTTTGTCTTGTCCCTTTAGATTGCTGGCTCTTTCTTGGCCCAGTGTCCAGATGTTCCAGGTTGCTGCATCGCTGTGATGCTCAGTTGATCTCAGCTTATCGGGGAAGCTGCCTGTACTCAGACCAGAGAGGAATGGGTTCCTTCGCTGTTTGCTTTATGGCCCCGCGTCACACTGAGCTTAGAGTGGCTTTAGTGGGAGGCTGGGGAACGCCAGCGCGTTCCCAGACGCACGGTTTGTTCTGGTGGCGGTGCTGCTGCAGTCACGTACCAGAGCAGCCTCCAACCCTTCCTTCCCTTCTGCCCTCCAAGCTGCCCACTGCAGTGGGGGGAGGGGATAGGCTTTAATCCACACTGGAAACATGTGAGGCTTAAAGTTTTCTCTCTAGAAGTTTTTAAACTCATGAGGTGAAAGCTGGGGGCTGTGGGGCCAGGTTTTCATCCTTAGAGTCCTTAACGTGGGTCAAGTTACGGGGAGAGGCTTACTCCTGACTTACGAGGAGAGGCTGAGGGAACTGGGGTTATTTAGTCTGCAGAAGAGAAGAGTGAGGGGGGATTTGATAGCAGCCTTCAACTACCTGAACGGGCGGTTCCAAAGAGGATGGATCTTGGCTATTCTCAGTGGTGGCCAATGACAGAACAAGAAACAATGCTCTCAAGTTGCAGTGGGGGAGGTCTAGGTTGGATATTAGGAAACACTTTCACTAGGAGGGTGGTGAAGCACTGGAATGGGTTACCTAGGGAGGTGGTGGTGACAAAGCCTTGGCTGGGATGATTTAGTTGGGGTTGGTCCTGTTTTGATCAGGGGGTTGGACTAGATGACCTCCTGAGGTCTCTTCCAATCCTAATCATCTATGATTCTATGATAAGTCCTCTCTCTTCCCTGTCCCCTCTGTGCCCCCCCAAAAACCCCCCCCCCCCCCCCTTTCTTTCCCCCCCCCCCCCCCCCCCCCCTTCTCCCCCCGTCTTCCGCCCCTCTGGATTTGTCCCCTAGCCTCTTGTCCTCCCAGTTTCCCCCCCCCCCCCACACACACACACACCTATGAGGGTGTAGCCAGGGGCAGCAGCAGCTCAAGTTCCAATTTTAAATCCTGCTGTGTAGACGTCTTTGCTGATCTCTTCCCCCCCACCCCCAACCTCCCTGTGGAATTCTATTGGGGAGGGGGATTTCAAGGGGATTGCTTTGTGTCAAATCAGAGCTGTGACAGGAAGCTCCTGGCTTTAGCTTGAATGATGTCACAGCTCCATAATGCAGTAATGTAGAGGCTAATGTATATGTGTGCCATTGCCCTCTGCTGGAGGACATCAGAATTGCACCCCTATGTGTCATAAGCCCTAGATTGTGTGCCTTCAATGGTGATTCTCCGTTAGCTCTGGGGGTCAGCACTGAGCTCAAAGTGGGTACAGAGGGGTCTTTCTGCTCCAATTCACTCCTTCCTTCCAGCCCATCTGCAGATGTTGCATTTCCCTTGGGGAATACAATGGTTTCATCATCCCCTTTGGTTTTGCATGGCAGTTTTCCGCTGTCCTTTGCATAGCCACTTCTGCAATGCAGCTTTGCGTTCCCGGCTCAGTCTCTTTGTCTCTCGCTGCTTGTAATCCAAAGACCTTTTGTTGGCTGGTTTGCGTTCAGTCGGCATGGGGAGCAGCGCTGGCCACTGCGAACCAGCAGGGAGCACTCAATGACACAAAACCTGGCTGTTCTTGTAGGCCCTACTTTAAAGGAGACAGCTGAGAAGTGGCTGACATTAAAATATGTAAATAAATAAAAATAAACTCAGCCCAAGTCGCTAATATGAAGTCAGGCACTGGAGTTCTCAGTGCTGCTACATTAATCCCCAATTGCAATTTGGCCCTCTTGTGTTAGGTGCTGTGCAAATGGGTCATGAGCGACTGTCCCTGGCCAAAGAGCATATCATCGAAACAGCTGAGGGGTAGGAGCTGAAGTGACTTGCCTGGGCTCTCTCAGTAGGTCAGTGGTAGAGCTGGGATTAGAACCAGGTGTCTTGACCCCTTGCCTCCTGCTCTACCCGCTGTATGGCACTGCCTCGCTAATTGCTCCGTTGTAACTGAGCTGATCTTCGCACGGGGGGTTCACAGCAGCTGGCCAGGAAGCAGTTTCCTCAACCCGCAAATAGTTTTGAGAGTTCACATTTTTCCCCCAACTCGAGTGAGGAGGAAAAGTGGAAATCTCGGAAATATTTGCAAATTGAAACACTGATTTTTTTTTTTTTCCATTTTGGGTCAATCAAAATGTTTCCTTTAAAATATTTCCTTGTCCCTCTCTACTTGGCACTGGTGAGGCCCCAGCGGGAGTACTGTGTCCAGTTCTGGGCCCACAGGAGAGCAACAAAAATGATCAATGGTTTAGAAAACCTGACCTGTGAGGAAAGGTTAAAAAAACTGGGTATGTTTAGCCTTGAGAAAAGAAGCCAGAGGGGGGAACCTGTTAATAGTCTTCCATTACGTTAAGAGTTGTTATAAGGAGGATGAAGATAGATTGTTCTCTGTGGCCACTGACAGTAGGACAAGAAGTAATGGGATTAAGCTGCAGCAAGTGCGATTTTGGGGTTCAATATTAGGAAAAACTGTCTAACTATCACAGTAGTTCAGCTCTGGAACAGGCGTTCAAAGGAGGTTGTGGAATCCCAGTCACTGGAGGTTTTTAAGAACAGGTCAGACAAACCCCTGTCAGGGCTGATCTAGGGTTACTTGGTCCTGCCTCAGCACAGGGGGCTGGAGTTGACGGCTTCTCGAGGTCCCCTCCACCCCTGCACTCCTGTGGTTCTGTGATTTCCACCTTTTTTTAATCTTTGTTTTTAGTCTAGTTTGCTTCAATTTAGAAAGGAAAAGTGGCTTTGAACCAGCAAATTGGAATTTTTCATTTCAAAACTGTCAAAACAACCCAATGGCAAGTTTGAAACCTTTTTCCGAGCTGGGAGATTGGCCGAGCCCAGCCCTGCTTCGGGTACAGTTCCAGTTTCAATGAATCGGCATCTTTTGACAAAACACAATGAGTCACAAAATCCCCACCCGGCCCTAGTGCTCGGCCATGTCGGTTCCGCATAAGCCCAGCTCAGCTGGGCTCCAGATGTGCAAAACCCAACGGGGGCTCCTGGCCCAGATGTGGCAATTCTCAGCAGGCCAGATGCAGATCCTGCCAGGAGGCCACGTGGGCATGCTCCGATGCCAGATCTGACCCACCTGCTGTTTACCAAGCGAGTGCCAATGTGCCCGGATCAGAGAGGGGCTGGCCTGGGTGTAAACAGCTGCGCAAGGTGCAGGGTGAGCGAGTCTCCGTCTCGGCCCCTCATCCAGAGCAGAAACCCCTCCAGCTGCTGGCTTTGGTGGGGTCCTCCCACTGCAAGGGTTGGACGGATCTGGCCCAAGTCCCTCCCAGCCACCTGCCCCACTCCAGGGAGAGCAGGAGGAATGTGTGTCTTGCCAAGGGTCATTCCTCCTCCCCTGAGGCGGACTCTGAAATCACCCTCCCCCCCACGCCTTGGGGAGGGGGCTGTAATCTGAGCTCACTGTCTCCCTCGCTCCTCTGCCTTTCCAGCTGTCTGAGGCTCAGAGTCCAGCCTGCGGAGGAGCTGGAAAAGTGACCATGATCCCCGCGCTGCTGCTGCTGCTGCTCTGGATCCTAGGCGGATGGGGCAGGATGGCTGGTCCCCACCCCAGGCTCAGACTGTCCTTCCAAGGTAAGCGCAGCGCAGCCCAGGCGCTGCCTGGGGAAAGAGGGCCCGGCCGGAGCACGCGGATCCATGGGATCCCCATCCTGCCACCAGGCCTCGGGGAGGGTGTGTGTGTGAATGACCCGGTTGGATCTGTAGGTGTCTCTGGTGGGCTGCACCTCCCCACGCCCTGTGAGATGGGCGGTCGCGCGGAACCCTTTTGGCATCTCTTAGCCAAGCTGTATCCGGAAACCCACGCCCGAGTTAAACAATACGGGACGCAGTGATGAATGACAGATCCCCGCAGGACGGTTTCTGCCATCAGCCGCCACTGGCATAAATCCTGTTGCTCCGCTGACTGCCGAGGAGTCCAGGCCATATTCTGATCTCGGTTGCGTCAGCAGGTGCAAATTCTGAGCCAGCCAGTGGAATTACTCTGGATTTCGGCCAGGGTAACCAGGATCAGGTTCTGACTCCGCGTTTGGTGAATACGGTACATTAAAGCCTCCAGTCCCAGAGACAGAAGAAGGTGTATATTCCTGGAAACGAAAGCTGCCCTCCCGTAGCTGTCCCGCCATGCCCTGCAGCATGCGGGGTGGCATTAGGGAGTGGCGTTGGCGTAGGCTTTGGTGATCAGTATTCAGGCTGGATTCCTAGCAGCAGCCTTGGGAGCTAGATCCCCAGCAGGCCGAGCCGCGGGTAACTGTAAAGTGACTTCAGCAGAGCTGTGCCGGTTGGTGCCAGCTGGGGATCCGGCCCTCAGGGCTTGACTGCAGCTTACGCGGGTGACCCCCAGCAGGCAGAGTTCTGGGAGGGATTATGGGGCTTTGGGCTGGGCCGTGTATGGCACCAGGAGGGCCTTTCTTTTGGGGTTCTGGCTGGGATCAGAGCCAGCCTACGCGAAGCGAATGCTCTGTCCAACCTGAGGGGCAGGTGGGGGCTTGCGATGAATTCTTCTTACAGCCATGCCAGGCCGCCCAGCAGCGTGTAGGGCCCCTCGCCCCTTCCAGGCTGACACTGGGCCGGCTCCGCACCCGGGCCGGGGGCTCCAGCTCACGCTGCAGAGAGAGTATGGGGTGCAGAGATGCTGCATCCCCCTTGGTGGCCTGGGAATGCCCACGGGCAGGCAGCAACGTCATCCACAGCACTCTGTCCCCGCACGCGTGAACCCTGTCAGTGCTGCAGGCCAGCCCGGGAGCTGGACGTCTGCAGCCTGGCTGGACGCCCCACTGTGCGGCGGCCTGGCCCGCCCCATTCATTGTGGATGGTTGATGTTGCTGGGGGAGCAGCTGCCTTCCCATCTGGCGGTGGGGGCAGGGTTATAACTTGGGTCACCTCCCCCATCATCCCCCTCTCTCCCCACCCACAGCTCCTCAGGTAGGATCTGGATTTCGGCTCAAGGAAATGTGAACTCTCCCTCTTTGCCCACACCCCAGCCTGTGATTGCCCCATCTTTGGAAGGTCTCAGGGTTACATTTTCAAAGCAAGAGGAAAGGGGGTTACCCCCAGCCCAGCCTGTACACCCTGCCCTGCTGGGACATGTATATGTCTTGGGAGCTGGCTGGCTCGAGGAGGGGATCTGGACCTTTTCATCTCCAGGTCCCCAGTTCTGATCCGGCCCTGGAGCAGGGGGGACTGGCTGGCCCCAGGTTTGGGAAGTGCAGCCCTGAGCCGCTGCTCTCTGATTCACCCCAGGGTGCAAGTGACCCCTGGCATTTCCCAGGGGTTAATGACCATGTGACATGGGTTCGGGGGTGGGAGGTAGCAGGTGTCCCCCAGCCCCTACCCTTTAGGCAGCCTTGTCCCCTTGCTGGAAGCCTCAAACCCAAGGAGCAACTCGGGGGTGGAGACATCTTCCCCTCTTGCTCCTTACAGGACCCTCCTGGGGCAGGTGGGGGTGGGGCTGGCCCTGCTGCTCCAGCTCTCTGGAGAGGGGCCTGGAGGGCTGGAGCCGGCCCCTCTCAGCAGGAGGAAGAAAGGGGCCTTCACAGGGGGGATGCTGTGGAATGAGTGGAAGCCGTGCAGCCCGCCCTCCACCCACCCCAGGCACAGCTCCGGACAGCCTCTTGCTGCCCCATGACCGCTGACCCCGGCTCCGCCAGGAGCCCAGGGCGCTTCAGGAGCTGGGGCACTGCAATGGGCTGGGCTGCAGCAGTGCCTGGCCTCAGCGCTGATCCCCCACGCAGCATGCCAAGGGGCCTGGTGCTCGCTGGCCTCGGCACCGAGGTGCCTCCTGGCTTCAGGGGCCAGTGCGGGCCCTGGTGCCCTTGGGGGCCGGGGAGGGCTCTGGTACCCTCGTGGACTGCTCTGACTCCCTCCCCCCCCAGCACTGGGAGCTGTCAGGGAGGGTGGCATGAGGCTATTGTGCCAGGGAGCACCTCTCACCCCAGGGTACCCTGCCAGTGGGCAGATCGGTCCAGTTCTGGCCCCTTCCCACGGCCAGGGCAGCACACAGGAGCTGGGGTGCAGCCCAAAACAGGGCTCTGTGTCCTCCCTCCTGGGAGATGAGGTGGCTGGGGCAATCGGTGGCAGGGCGCTGCCGCACTGAGAGCGGAGGCCTCCGGGAGGCCTTTGCCCTTTCCACTAATTTGTCCATCAGCTAGAAACTCATTAAAGAGGTATGTGGGGGGAGGAAGGGGGGCTGCCTTTTGAGCTGTTTCCAGAATAGTTGCTAAGCAGCAGCGTGGGGTTGCTGGGTTACCTCACGTGATGCCAGTCCTTGAATGCTCCCAGTCAAGTCCCTGAGCAGCCGGTGTCAGGCAGGATTGAACCAAAGGGGAAATGGCCGGCGTGGGACGGGGAAGGGTTCACTGTGAGATGTGGGGGAGCTCCTGGCTTCTCCAGCCCCAGCCTCTCTCAGTAGGGGGCACTGCGGGGAGCGGGGCAGGAGCACTGGCTGTGGGGCCTCAGCCTCTCCCAGCAGGGGGCGCTGTGTGACACGGACAGGGGCGCTGGCTGTCAGTGTCCCCAGTCCCATCTAAGTGTGTTTGCTCCCAGTTCCTGTATCTGCTACGTTACTTTCACACCTGGTTTCAGCAGTGTGTCACTGACCCCTGGATTGGACCCCCACCCCCACTTCAGAAGTGGGCCCAACTCGGGGAGCAGCAGTGCCTTGTTCCCAGGTGTCCCACTGCTGGACAGGGGCCATGGCTGCCAGGCTGAGGGTCCCTCATACTTGGAGCTGGGGCTGTCTCCCCACTGGGAGGAGACTTAGCTGCGCTAGCCAGTGGGCAGCCAGGGCAGTGTGAGTCCATGCCTAGCCAGCAGAGCCTGGGGATAGCTTGTGGTCCCTCCCGGCCATACTGACTAGAGAGGAATGTGAAACTGACCAGCCTGGCTTCGCTCTCCTGGCCAGTTAGCGCTGAGAGGCCGTGGAGCAGGCAGGCAATTATCCCCTCGTGTCCTGGCAGCAGAGGGAACCTGCCGGCCTTGTGGGAAAGGAAAGCCACAAGAGGCAGTGGGGTCCTAGGCACAGGCTCCTCCCTGTGTGCCCCCTCCCCCCCCCCCACTGCATTGAGCCCTCCCTTCCTTAGGCTGGCTCCAGGGTCCTGGACGGCAGGGGAGACTGCGGGGGGGGTGCAGGCAAGGCCTGGGCTGGTGCGGCAGCAAGAAGGGGTCAGAGCGCAGGGAGGGATGTGCTGGCACAGTGGGGGAGGAGGCAGGAAGGGGTGGCCTGGGAGCGGGGGAGGGGCAGGGGGCAGTGGGGGAGGGGATGGGCTGATGCTGCAGGGGAGGGGGATACGGGGTGAGCTGGCACAGTGGAGGGGGCTGGGAGCAGTGAGGGAGGGGGAAGAGAGGGGGTGGGTGGCACCGCAGGGGAGACGGATGTGGGGTGAGCTGGCAGAGTGGGGGTGGGGGCAGAAGGGGGGGTGAACTGGCGCTGCGGGGGAGGGGGCAGAGACCTGGCTGGACTCTGGCCCCTGAGCCATGCTGGGCTGTGTGGTCCCTGCAGGCGCCTCTGGCACAGGCAGCCTGTCCCCTGCAAGCTGCTCTCTCCCGCCTCCCCACAATGGCCCGTTTGTTCCTGCGGTGGCCAGCAGATCAGGCACTGTGGGGCCTCTTCTCTGGGGAACAGCCTGTTGTGCTGTGCTGCCACTGATGTGGTGAAGCTGGTGGGGGGAGGGGGTGCCAGGACAGAGGATCCAGGGACGAACCAGGGATGCAGAGGGAAGCAGCAGCCCCTGGGTACCCTCTTCACCCCATGCACCCTCTGCCCATTTCCTAGATGGCCCCAGCCAGGGCAGGCTGAGCAGGGCTGTGGGGTGCACAGCTGCCACAGCCCATCTTCTGGGATCATGGCATCCAGCTGACTGCCCCCCCCCCCAGGGGCCTGGGGGTTCTCTGTGCTGGGGTGCCCCGTACATTCAGAGCCACCGGTGTCCAGTCCTGCTCAGTGCCTCAGTTTCTCCTCCCCGGTCTATTTAGATTGTGAGTGCTGGGGACTCTCTCTCACTCAGGGTCTGGCACAATGGGGCCTCTAACTGCTCCCCTAAGGCACAGCACTGTGCCCAGGTGCCTGCTGGGCAGGGAAGCCCTCTCACCAGTGCCATGGTCCCTGGGTATCCTGACGCCAGGCAGCATTCTTATGGGGCACCTGGCCCTGAAGGGTTAATTCCTTCTGCAGGAGACTTTGCTGGCCAGCTCTGGGGGACAGCAATGCCAGTGTTGGCAGCACTGGGACCGGATCCAGGGCTAATTCCACAGCCTCTGCCTTCCCTGACATTTAACCCTGCCAGGAGGCAGCTGGCCTGGCCCTGTACTCCCTAACCCAGGGCTCCCACCTCTGTATTAACCTCTTCAGTGCTGCCTCTGGCATGGACTAAGCACAGCTCCGGGGCTGCGGGCCGGCCTGCAGACACTGCCAGCCCTGGCATGCCTGAGCTGCACACAGCCTGTGGTATGAGATCCTATGGAGAACAGCGGGGGCTAAATGGGAAACATTAACTCTTGGGGTGACATGAGTGTTGTTGGGTCTGCCTTCTGGAAAGGGAATGGGGTCTAGTGGTTAGAGCATGGGGGTGGGGGGTTGGGAGGACTCCTGGGTTCTATCTCTAGCGTTGGGATCTAGTGGTTAGAGCAGGGCAGCTGGGAGTCAGGACTCCTGGGTTCTGTCCCCAGCCCTGGGAGGGGAATGGGGTCACCTTCCTATTGGAGGAGAAATTAGTGACACGGAGTATTGGTTGTGTTGTTAGGGTGACTTGTTTACGTGCATGCCGCAGTGTTTGAACAGAGATGGTCAGTCAGCATGCAGGGCAGTCCCTTCTCCCAGCGATCTCAGCCCAAGGGCAGCGTTCGGCTCCCAGGAGCAACTCAGCCTTGAGAAGTGACTCCAGTTAGAGCCCACGGCAGAGCAGATACTCTCTCTTCCTGCTCACACACTCCTTCTCTGCTCAAGCTGCCTCTACGCAGACCCCTGTATTACTACAACGCATGTCTTCCCAAGACTCAAAACTTGCTCGCACACTCAGAGAAAACAATCCAAAGCCTTGACAGCATCACCTGCTGATGCCGACCCCAGCGGTGTGACTGTGTCACCCTCTGGTGGTGCACATATGGCTGGGGAGGTGGGCTCAGTGGGTTAATGTTCATTCCCGGGGAGCGATGTTCCCATATTCATTGCCAGTCAGAGGGTGCTACCTGGCCCCATAGCAGCACAGTGCTCGTTTCAAAGCTTCCAGAGTGCTGGGCTGGCTCCCACACGACTCATGTGCAAGAGACTTTGTTCCTGGGTCTCCACCCCAATTGTCTGAGTTGGAAAAGCACCAGAAATGGGGGTGATCTCTCTGATCCCATTGGAGCCCCCAGAACTTTGGGGGGGGCAGCAGCCCTAATGGGCATCCACCGTGTTTATTTCACTCCGAAGAGAGCAATCCACCAGTGGTTAGAGCAGGGGACTGGGGTTCAGGACTCCTGGGTTCTATTCCTGGGGGGGAAGGGGGTCTGATAGGATGGGTTACAACGGGAGGGCTGAGGGCCAGGACTCCTGGGTTCTATCCTTGGCTCTGGGAGGGGAGTGGTATCTTGTGGTTAAAGCAGGGGACTGGAAGTCAGGATTCCTGGGTTCTTTTCCCACCTGTGACAGTGTCCTTGGATATGTCTACACTGCGATAACTTAGAGCCCAGATCAGCTGTCTCAGGCCTGGTCTACACTACGACTTTAATTCGGATTTAGCTGCGTTAATCCGAATTAATCCTTAACCCGTCCACACAACGGAGCCAGTTACTTCGAATTAAAGGGCACTTAAAATCGATTTCTGTACTCCACCCCGACGAGCGGAGTAGCACCAAAATCGATTTTGTTAATTCGAATTAGGGGTAGTGTGGCCGCACACCACCGAATTAATGTGGTTAAAAACCGAATTAATATGCTTAGTGTGGCCGCGCACAATCGAATTTATACAATCTGTTTCCCAAATTCGAATTATCTAAATTCGAATTAATCTCGTAGTGTAGACGTACCCTTTGGCTCACGGGGCTAAAAGCAGTGTAGACATTCAGGCTCCAGCTGGAGCCCAGTTTCTGAGACCCACCCCCTTGGTGGAGTCCCAGAGCCCGAGCTCCAGCCCCAGCCCGAATGCCTACACCGCAATTTTCCAGTCCCGCAGCCCAAGCCCAAGCCAGCTGCCCCGGGCCAGCCCCAGCTGCGTTGCGGCTCTTTCACTGCAGCGGAGACGCACCCCCGGTGGCCCAGCTCTCAGAGGGGCGGTGCCCATGGCTGCATGCTGGCTGCCCTGCTCTGAAAAACCGGGCCCCGAGCGCTGTTTGAAACTGACCGCAGTGGCACCCAGGGCAAGTCCTGTGCGGCAGGTGCCAGGAACCAGATGATCTGCATGTGGGGCTTGGGGCGGTGCTGTTCTCTGGGCCTGTGCTGGCGTCCCTGACACTGTCCATCTCCAAAGCCCAGATCCACAGAGGTGCCTAACTCCCATGGGAGGGTGGGTGTCTAAATACCTTTGAGGACCCAGGCCCGGGGTCTTTGCATTCCATTCCCTTGGCCTGTGATCCCTGAGAGAAGCTGATAGCCAGGGCGGAGCCGGCCTGATCCCAGCCCCCATGTCTCCCCGCAGAGTTAAAAGCGCGCCATGGGCTGCGCACCTATGGGCTGGAGCGCTCCTGCTGCTACGAGGCGCTGCTCCTGGACGAGGAGCGGGGCCGGCTCTTCGTGGGCGGCAAGAACCACCTGGCCTCCCTGAGCCTGGACAACATCAGCAAGCAGGACAAGAAGGTGACTGCTGCACGGTGGAGGGATCCGGGCACCCACCATTGGGAGGGGCAGTGGGCAGAGACGCCCACTCGAGAGGCGACATTGCCGGCATTCCAGCTGCCTCGCCTCACCTCCCCCGTGAAATCGCCCGTAACGACCGTCCAGCTTGAACCCCATGGGGGGGTCGGCTGATGCCTTCGCTGTAGGACCTTGAGTCCCCACCACAGCTGCTGGAGGAGCCCCTGCTCCCAGGGCGCCGTGCGGCTTGCGTTGCATGTCTTGAGCGTACTGGTGCTCAGCTGGGCAGGCACGGCCCTGCCCAAAGAGTCGCTGAGGACTGGCACGCTCGAGCCACTTCCCCAGGCTGCTCTGGCTGCTGCTGTTCCAGGGCACGGGATGGAGAGGGGAATTGGGAGCCCCTCTACATGGGGCATGGTGGGGCGCATTGTCAGGGCAGGGGCCTCGTTCTGCCTCCAGGGATGCTGCCCCTCAGTTCCTGGTGTGAACTGAGTTGGGAGGGTCTCGGCCTCGCGCTCCACAGGCTGACCCCTCCCCCCCGAGCCCAGCACCACAGTTCATGCAGGAACTCGGGGCTGGGCTGGCGGGGGGCTGCGGGTTGGGATTGAGGGGCCCATGGGGGGAGAGGGAGATGCCTCTCCATGATCTGTCCTGCTCTCTTCCTGCAGATCTACTGGCCGGCGCCTGTGGAGTGGAGGGAGGAATGCAACTGGGCCGGCAAAGACATCAACGTAAGTGCTCCAGCCAGGCTGAGCTGGGGGTGATTTAACTCCGGGGGTGGGCAGGCTTCCCCACTGACCCCGGAGCGCCCACCCTGGCTGTGCAGGGGTTGCCAGCCCCCATGCCCTGCAGGGGTTTCAAGCCTGGCCTTTGAGTTGGGCACCATGGAGCGGCACCCCACAGCGCCTTGTCACAGCGATGGAGCCTCCCCTGGCCTGGTCTGTTTGGGGGCATCCTGTGTGGTGCCCAATGTGGAGAGTGGGCAGCCCAGCCCAGCACTGCCCCATGGGAGCCAAGTGTGTTGGGCAGGGTCAGACCTGAAGTGTTTGGGGTCTGCCCCCCGTTCAGTGGAGACGGGACGCCCTGTTCATATCTCCCCTGCTTTGAGGCAGGGCGTGGGGCCTCGCGGAGCCCAGATCTCTTGGCTCCAGGCCGCCTGGGGTCCCATGGCAGGCTGGGGTCAGACCACATCTGACTCGCAGGGGGCTGGCCAAGGGGCACAAGGACAGTGTGGGGTGAGCAGGCTGCCACGGGCTGAGGCCACTGCCCCCAACGGTTCTGCCAGCCCCAACGGTGAGGGGCCCCAAGGACTAGGCAATGCCAAGGCACCCGAAGTGGCCCAGCCAGTGTGCTTTTGGGAGGGGCCCCTGTGGGGCTGGGGGTGACACGGCCCCCCTTCCATTGATCCCCCTAGAGGGAGGCTCTTGATCCCCATTGGGCAGGGGTGAACCCCTGGGGGGCAAAAGGGGTCTTTCCCTGCCCCCTTGCTGTGGCACTGGGAGGGCCAAGCCAGAGGCTGCCCACCAGCCTCTCTGCTCCTATTGGGCAGCATGGGCCATGCCATCCGGGGACCTTGCCCCGCTCTGACCGGGCCACTGCCCTCCCTGGAGATAGACAAGGCCTGGGCGCCGGGACCCGCTCCTGGCTCGGGTAGTGGGGGGTTCCCAGAGCCGCTAGCACACAGCAGCGGGGCCTGCAGGCGGTGCGGGGAGGCACAGCACTGCCGGGGGGGCAGGGTCTCTTCGGGGAGCCCCCTGGGCTAGGGCGGGGGAGGAACCATCCTGGCAGGCTGCTGGGAACTGTCCGGGGGTTGGGAAGTAGTCCCGGCCAAGGGGGGGATCAGTGCAGTGATGCAGAGGGGCAGCAGTCAGCAGGCTGCGGGACACGTCGTGGGTACTGAGTCCCCCTGAGCTGAGGGATCCCCCGGGGGCCAATTGCTGCGAGGCTGGGCCCAGGCTGGATCGGGCCCAGGCAGGATCAGATCCAGGGAAGCCTGAGGCTGGAGGGGGGGGAGGCTGATCCAGGCAGCTGGGAAGATGCTGGGTGAAATCCCAGCCCCATAGCAGTTGGAGGCTGAGCTCCTATAGGGTGGGAGGGGGAGGGGTGCCTGAGTGACTGTTTGAGCGTTTTACCCCTTCACAGCTGGACATCTGCCTGCTACTTTCCAGCACGAACTTTGCTCTTCAGAGCCTTGGCCATGCCCGGCAGAGGGGGAAGGGATCCCGGGATCCTCCCCGAGGCCCCAGTACCAGCTACTGACGGGTGCTGCCCTCCCTCCACTCCCCCCACCCCGCCTTCATCAATCAAGTGGCTGGGAGAAACAAGGGCCAATTGTTTGCCTGGCTGGGCAAGTGCTGGGCCTGTCTGCCGGGCTGGGGTGGGGGTGGTGTTCAGAGCATATGTGCTGGTCTGAGGGTCCCCCGCCCGGAGGGAGGTTGTGGGTCACAGCCCCAGGTGCTCCCCGAGGGGTGCTTTGTGTTTTCCTGCCCCAGTGCACTCTGGAATGCCTGGTGGCATTGTGCAGGCAGGATGTGGGGGGTCCTCAGGATGGATGGGGGGGTGGCTGTCTCTGTGCTGAGCTGGGAGGTGAAGGGGATCGAGGAGTTTTTGCAGCCTGGGCTCCTCCCAGGGACCTTGAGCTAGTCGCTGCCTCGCTCTGGGCCTCAGTTTCCCCACCATGAAATGGGGATAATATTTCCCTATCTCCCTCCACTGGTGCCCCTCAATCCCACCAGGTGGGAGGCAGGAGGGCCCCGGGCAGGGCGGGGCTGGGGGCAGCCAGGTGGCAGGAGGGGCCTGGGCAGGGTCGGAGGGGACAGGCAGGGCTGAGGGCAGGTGGCAGGAGGGGCCCAAGCAGGGCGGGGGCAGGAGGCAGGGTTGGGGGCAGAGGGGCTCAGGGAGGGCTGAGGGCAGGCAGCAGGAGGGCCCTGGGCAGGGCGAGGCTGGGGGGTCGGCGGCAGGAGGGGGCAGGGCAGGGCTGGGGGTGGGCAGAGGAGGGGCTGGGCAGGGGCAGGTGGGTGGCAGGAGGGGCCTGGGCGGGGCTGGGGGCAGGTGGCAGGAGGGGGCCAGGAGGGTGGCTGGAGGGGTCCGGACAGGGCGAGGCTGGGGGCAGGTGGCTGGAGGGGCCCGGACAGGGCTGTGGGCAGGAGGGGCAGGGTGGTGCTGCATGGCACACTGGTCTGGCTGGACATGGCCATGGCGACTTCACTCCCATCTGGTTTCCTGCCGGCAGCGCTGAGCCTGGCTCCTGCATTGGGGTGAAAGGGCAGCAAACAAGCAGCCTGAGGCCTGTTTGTCTGTCTAGGGGCGCTGACCGGCCCCTGTTAGCGCTGGCCCCACTGTTTACCCAGCCACTGCCCCTAGAGGAGACGCTGGACAGAAGTAGCCTTGCAAGTGCTCCTGCTCCCGGTCGGCTCTGCCCTCTGCCAGGGTCCCTGGGGCCAGATCCAGCTCCTGGGGCTCTGTGGCCCCCCACCCTCTGCAGCTGGGGATAGCTGGGGCTGCTGTGGGTCGGGAGTGAGGAGCACCAGCAGAGCTGGGGAGGAAGCCAAGGGCTGGGCTAGCAGGGGCTGCAGGTCAGGATTGAGGAGGGGCACTGGCAGAGCTGTCGGCAGATCCCAGGGCTGGGCAAGCAGGGGGCTGCGGGTCAGGATTGAGGACACTGGCAGAGCTGGGGGACAGCAGGGAGGGGGTCCAGGACTGCAATATCATAGAATCATAGAATATCAGGGTTGGAAGGAACCTCAGGAGGTCATCTAGTCCAACCCCCTGCTCAAAGCAGGACCTATTCCCAACTAAATTATCCCAGCCAGGGCTTTGTAAAGCCTGACCTTAAAAACCTCTAAGGAAGGAGATTCCACCACCTCCCTAGGTAACCCATTCCAGTGCTTCACCACCCTCCTAGTGAAAAAGTTTTTCCTAATATCCAACCTAAACCTCCCCCACTGCAACTTGAGACCATTACTCCTTGTTCTGTCATCTGGTACCACTGAGAACAGTCTAGATCCATCCTCTTTGGAACCCCCCTTCAGGTAGTTGAAAGCAGCTATCAAATCCTCCCTCATTCTTCTCTTCTGCAGACTAAACAATCCCAGTTCCCTCAGC